CGATAGACCGAAAATACTTTGCGACTGCGCGACGACTAGGGCTGAGGGACCAGAGTTAGGCAAATTTTATTTTCCTAATAACGAACGAAAGTTAAAACAAAACAAAAAAATATAATATAAAATATCTTGAGCAATTCTTCGGTGTAGTAATTGTTATGCAAAATGAACTGCAACGAACAACTTTTTGTCAATGACATTTTTCGGGATAAGTTATTTTTGACCCTTGATTCAAACTCCTACATAATGTTCGAACAGTCCCCAGCCCTGGTAGCTTCCACGAGTGGACGAAAACATAACTCTCTAATCTCTCCGTTGGAAAGCCTCTTAACGCTTTTACGCCGGGTCTATTCCGTTTCATCCCGATTCAAGCGGAAAGGTACTCTTACAGAGTCCAAAGCGTGTCCAATTTGGTCGGACAGACTCTCAGAGCACGTGCCTGGCGCTCAATTATTCGTTTCTATTCAGCCAATTATATCGCTGGATTATTTCGAGAACGGGTTTGGAAAAAACTGGACGATTACAGGTTCGTTATTGGTTGTCTTCGTCGGGCATTGATCTTTCTAAAAAAGCTACAGTCCAGCAACATTTCCTTGTTACAAGAACGAGGAATACAAAAGTAAATTCAAAAAGTTCGTTTATTTGCGTACGTTCCACTTCTGCCAACGCAACGAGCAGAACACAAATTTACAACTGTCAGAAAATGGTTACTTAACCGTTCCAAAAGTGATCGAAGCGCCACCTCGGTTGTCGAATTTAAATTGTAATTGAAAATGTACGACGTAAACTAGAAAACAAGATACAAATCTAGACTAGGTATAAAAGACTTTTCTAATCTACGTACTACGTATACATTATTTGATGAAGTAGATTTCGCAATTGTTCACACAGTAAAGGTTACTTAAGTGTATACAAAACGGACAAATTTATTACTTGCACACGTTTTTCTAAGCGAAATAACAGTTTCTTTTACAGTTGTGGAACGTACTTGACCTAATGTATATGTATATAGTTAGTGACAAAGCTAACGGCTCTTGATTAGGTTTCCGTGGGCAAACAAAGGGATTTTTATGAACGAGGAACGATGAAAAAAATGTTTCTCCGTTCACCGTAAAAGTGCTTGATATTGTCCAACGCGTAATCGAGAGTGGCGGACGATTTTCACCGTGAGAGATCGGTATGTCCGTGGCCGGTAACTTTTCTCACGATCTATCACACGAGGCAATGGTATTTCGAAATGGGAACGCGATACCTATTGACTCGACGATTATGAATCAAAGCTGGCACGGCGAAACGAAACTGCACACGCACGAATGAATTGGGAAAATAAATTTTGAACGAAATATCTTCCGCGAACACTTCTCGAAGGGCCAGTCTGGCCTCGACGCACCAAGTTAACGAAACAAAATAAACCATTAAGCGATTAACCGTTTTGTATCGAGTTAGGAGCTCCTGACCCCCGCTGTTTCGATTCGTTCGACGGACTGCTCGTTTAAAAAGTTAATTGAAACCGACTGTTTCGCTCGATAGACGTCGGATACATCCACCCGGCCTCGAGAACCGATCGCAAAATGCATCGGGGCACCGCACGAAATAAAGCAACGCGTTAATAACATCTCGTGTTCACGTACCTCGATCAGCGGTGTATTCAAAGACACGATCCTCTCCGGTTAAGTTGTCGGCCGTTGTAAATCCATTCGAAATCGGTGGAAAAAGGTCGGGCGACCGTTCACAGCGTAAACACTTCGCGGGGCAAAGATCGGGCCACACACAGGCAGAAAACACAGGAACCATTCGTTCGCGCCTCGTGCTTAGATAGTTTTGCGTTCGCTCATTGTTGAATGTGGCCAAGCACGCCCCCTTTGAGAGACCGGTCGACCGAGGAATGGAGCAAAGAAAGGAGAGACAGAGCGCGGAGAATGAGAAGGAACGGACAGAGAGGATCGCCGAGGCGAAGAAAGGGACAGGCAGATCGTAGGGAATGCAAGATGAAAGGAGTGAGAGTTTTAACCGAGACGACGACACGGTCGAGGGAAGCGCGTCGCCAGCACGGATTTCTTAACCACAGAGCACTCTCGGTAACATTCGATTCACTTATTCGCGCGGATCGATAATCGCTGGTGCTCGGGGACAAGACGGCGCATCCCCGATCTACGGGAACACCAACCACCGATGACAACGGCCAAGATAATTGGCGGTTGCTCGATCCCGCGCTGCGCGTCTTCGCGATTCGCTACGCGCGGCTCGGGGATCGACGAACGATACCGATTTTCCACGAAAATCAACGTCACCCGGTCGGTAAACACAACGAATTACAATGGTGCACACACTCGCCGTCGCGCCGTTTCCTTGGATACCGTGTGTGCGATCCAGTATCGATCGAAGATTCTCACGCGCGCGTTCGGGAACACCCTTCGTCAAGATCGCGCGAGCATATAACCGTGATCGACGTCGTACGTCGCGCCAAAGAATCGTTGCGAATACACACACACAGACACGCGTGTACACGCACACGTACACACGGCGCACGCACAGAAGTACGAGGCACTCGCGTCGACGAACGTGCACGGGGCGCTAACTCGCGGTCCTCGGTTTCTCGAATCTCCCTTTTTCCAGTCCAACGCACAAAGCGTTCCTCCTTGGTCGCGGCCCGGCCTCTACTGAGAAACAAGTACGCCAGGGGGCAGTCACGAACAAGCGGTTCTCGAAGCCGGGAGCCTGAAAACCGTCTTCTGAAATCCCCGATGCGCCCGTTCGTGCACGGTTTTAGTGGACGTACGGGGACGAGACGAACGAGCAAGCCAAGCAAGTACGATCCGCCCGCTCGCCTCGCTACTCGGGCCCGAGACGACGTTCCATTGTTTCGTTGTCTCTCCTGGCTCGGGAGCGTGGCATACACGCACACGTAGACGCGCGCAGCAACACAGAGGACGCGGTGGCGCACGTGCACGGACGACCAACACGCGAACGAGCCGCTTCCAATACGTACGAGCAGGTTAGGGAGCACGCACACTCGACGCTTATAAACCGACCGACCGACCAGTCACGCACGATCTCTCGTTCGTGTATGAATGTCGTAGTCCGGTTACCACCGGACCCGAACCCATCGCGAACACACTGGCTAACTTATGGATCGCGCGCGCGCGCGCGTACACACTTACGCCAGTCTCTCTCTCGTTTCGTACACGAACGTGAAATCTGTCGGGGCTCCGAGGTACCGGTGAAAATTTATCCTGTACGTATGTAAGCCCTTCTTGCCACTTGGTCGTTTCTCCACGACCTTGCCAGTCATTTCGGGCAATTTCACCGTCGTTGGGACGGTATTTACTATTAGCAGTTCAACACCGCCGGGTGACCCCCGTCGAGAGGCTGAAAGTGGAGAGAGAGAAGGAGAATCGAGCCACTCGGCGACGAACCAGTGAGACCGAGCAAGAAGGGAACCGTCAGCGGGACGGGTGGAGGGGGAAAGAGCTGGAAGCTAGGTGGAAGGCGGTTTGGAAGGGGAAGACGATGTCGAGCAACCGAACTTGACCCTCGGTGGATCTGCATTTTCGTTGGTTTGCTCGGGCGGACAGAAAATCTCGAGTTTTTTATCGTCCCCGATGCTTTCCGTCATAAAGAACTCACGTTGCCTTCGCAGCGAAAAATGTTCTACATTTTTTTTTTATAAACAATGATAATTTGAATGGTAATTGTTTAGTTTAGGGGAAGAATGATCCGATAACCTTGACCTTTTCATATAGTTACAATATTGCAAAAATATTCCAACGCTTACATCCCTTACACTTAACAATTACTTTTACACGAGAAATTAGTTAATAAGTATCATTGTGCATTGCGAACAAACATTGTAATTATTAAAATAAACGTATATATTATAATTTATAGAGTTTCTCTCGCTCAATTTCCCCTCGCTATGTTCAAAACAAACATCATCCCAAAAGACTGAATTTTTCCTGCATGAATCTATAACCTCAAAGATCGGTACTGCGTCCCTGTTAGGTCCGTGCCCTAAGCGGCTGGGTCGGTCTTATGGTGGAACCGGCCCTGTCCACATCTTGTCCCAGTTTTTAGAATCACGACTAACGAGAATCAAGAGTAATTGCACCGTCATAGAAATAAGATAACCGGCGTAACGCGAGAGCATCGACTCGCGCGAAAGAATTCCCCGCGAAATGAAGTTGTAAATGAAGGCGTTTGAAATTCTTGTCCTGAAGTTAATGGCAACGCCTATCCGCCGCGTGCTTTATTTTCATTGTACCGATGGGAATGCTGCGCGAGTCCTCTCCGTTATGAGCATCTAGAATCTAGATGCGCTGAATACGCGTCAAGGAATTTGTTCTTGCTAGCACCATCAACCGCGTAGATCACTTTTTACCCACGCCCGGCGCATCCAATGGTTCCAACTGTCCATTTAACCGCGCAATCTTCTTTGACACACTTGCACATCAATTTCACCGTAAATAAATCGTATGGTAATCGATGAATAAGGGGAATCGCGTGTTCAACGATGCTCAAAATTATTCTGCCGTCTAAACGGAAGACTTCCATGGCGACTCGAAAATCAATCAAACGTTAATTTTGAAATGTGACATATTAAATGCAGTAACAACCAAATACAACAGTTAAGGGTTTCTAGATGGCTCTGTACAAGGGCGTATGAACATGATTCGTTTGTTGCGTGATCACGTGTTCGGGGGCACGTGCGAGAAAGGAGCCCCGATGCACGCGTTTGACAGACGATCACGAAAACAGTCACGATAGACGTAACCTGAAACGGAAATGATAAGGACTCGTATTTAGAAAGCTAACAGGGGAACTACATCCACGAACTGAAAGCGTTCACAAGGATATTCGTTTCTTCCATTATCTCGTTTTACTGCCTGACATTTTATACACGTATGAACCTTTTATTTGCGATCGAATACAAAGGATTAACGAGGATACTTAAGAGGATATTGCAATATGACTTTTTTGTAAATATTTTCTGTATTCGCTGCAATCTATTCGCTTTCGTCTTATTTATGCAAGTCACGAAGATTCTGGGGGTTATCAAGACGCAGTAACTTATCAAGCTATTTTCGTCTCCCAACGAGGAGATTTCTTTGCCCTCCCTTTCTCTTCACAATGTATTACTTTGTTTAGCTTCTCTTTTTGCTTTCGATACTTCTTACTAATCAACATTTCGAAATCCGTGACTTCGCGTCGTATAATGCAGTTCGTAAGTAAACTTACTAAATAAATAAATGTGATCCAAATTATATCGCGTTCAGTCTCGTCTGGTATACGAGGATGGTAAATTAAAGGACTGGTAACCTAAATTCTAAATACGCTACTGTTACTAATACTTTCGTCCAGCACCGTATGTGGCCAACTATTGCGATACGGTTTAACATAGTAATAGCGAGATTTCAGTATGTCACGTACCGTGGCAGCGTAAACAGTAAAGCTAATTGTTAAATCTGATATCGCTTGCTGATAACAGCAACTTCCAGCAGCTGTGCAGTCCATCGATCGATCCGTGAGTTTTAAATTTAAACTGCATCTTTTAATTAATCCAGTTAAATGGTTTGCATTTATTTTTACGCAAGCTGAAAAATAAAACGAAAACGATGAGTCGCGAATGGAACGAGTTGGCCGTGCAGAAAGTGCCGCCGATGGAGCTTAAATCTAAACTGCAGTTACCGGTAAAAACTTTGACGAGTCCGGGACCAACTAATTGCTCGGAGCGGGTTCTTAACTCTTTAAAGAATCAAATAATCGGTCATCTACATCCGGAAATCTGTCAGGTAATCGAAAACATAACAAATGATGATGCAATAGATACCTTCTATGGAAATACAGTAATCCCCTTCAAGTTCTCACTCATCCAGCCTCTTCAGTTCTCCAAGTTGTCGCGGTTCGATTCTGCACCTGCGACAGTTTAAGGAACGATCTTACGAGCAAACGTCATGGTGTTGATTTTCAGTTGATGGATGAAATTAAGCTTGGCCTTCAATACGTGTTCCAAACGAAGAACAGACTTACTTTGGTACTGAGTTCATCCGGCCATAGCGGCATAGAAGCAAGCTTGGGTAATTTACTCGAGCCCGGCGAGACGATAATCATCGTCAAAACTGGAATTTGGGGTGAACGCGCGGCTGAGACAGCCAATCGACTCGGTGCACACGTACGCGATATAGTTTCACAGAAATTTACTATTCGCTTTCATCGAGACGTGATCCGTTTATGAATTTAAAACTGCAGGTCGTGTTGCTGGAAACAAAGCAAAACGAGGCCGTTACGTTGGACGAATTGGAAACCGCCTTGATGAAACACAGGCCAGCGGCAGTTTTCATGGTACAGGGTGAATCATCCACGGGCGTGAAACAACCATTGGAAGGCATGGGGGACCTTGTTCACAAGTATATTCTTTTTTTAATTATTATTTTTTAACAGATATTGTTTAGTAACTGTTGCAAGAACCTAAACTTATATTACAACAGTTTTAGAAAAAATTTTAATGAGGGAATCTAGAGGCCAAAATAAGACGAAAATCAAGAATACCAATTTGTTGATGGAGGCTTCGTTAAAAAATTATTAACAATTAAATTAAAAAATTTCAATTCGTTCTGGAAAAATTATTTTCGGTTGCGGGAGTGCGTTACAATCATTTTTGGTGAATAGACATACCCCCGAAATCCTACCCACTTTCTAGAAAAAAATTCGAGAAGGTGGGAAGTTTTTCGACAAAATTCAAAAATTTCAAATCGTTCTGGAAAAATTATTTTCGGTTGCGTGGGTCAATTACAATCATTTATGGTGAATAGACATACCTCCGTAATCCTACCCAGTTTCTAGAAAAAAATTCGAGAAGGTGGGAAGTTTTTCGACAAAATTCAAAAATTTCAAATCGTTCTGGAAAAATTATTTTCGGTTGCGGGAGTGCGTTACAATCATTTTTGGTGAATAGACATAACCCCGAAATCCTACCCAGTTTCTAGAAAAAAATTCGAGAAGGTGGGAAGTTTTTCGACAAAATTCAAAAATTTCAAATCGTTCTGGAAAAATTATTTTCGGTTGCGGGAGTGCGTTACAATAATTTTTGGTGAATAGACATACCCCCGAAATCCTGCGCATTTTCGAGAAAAAAATTCAGTACGAACGGAACTTTAAACGTTAATAATTTTTTTACAAAGCCTTCATCAACAAATTGGTGTTCTTGATTTTCATCGTATCTTAGCCTCTAGAATACCCTATTAAAATTTTTCCCAGGGGTGGCCGAACAACCTGTATGTATAACCTATGTAAAAGGTTAGCCTGAAATAGAATTCGAAGAATCGACAAATTTTCAGGTACAATGCTCTTTTGATCGTCGACGTGGTTGTGTCACTTGTTGGCGAGCCGTTCTATATGGATTCTTGGGGCATCGATGTGGCTTACACCGGCAGCCAGAAGGCCCTTGGTGCCCCCCCAGGACTCACACCGATTTCGTTCGGTCCACGAGCAGAGTACGTAATCGTGGTTTCCTTTTCCCTAATCGTAACTACCCGGCCAGAGAAAATGGTCTGTGAATGGGGACTGTAAGTCATCTACACGGAATATCAATCGAATTCGTGAGGTCATCGCGGTGACTCGAGGCTCATTCGACGCTCCGTGAATCATAACGTGGATGTCCGATGAATTCTTATTCGATGAGATTCTGGTGGCTTTCGAGCCAACTATCGCTATCTCCGAGCCTCTATAACCTATAAAATTTTTTTCGAAGCAGATCGCATTAAAATGGTAAAAAGACCCTGGTCGATCGCTCGTAACGGATTACAGTACCGTTGACGACTTGTTTGCATAACAGGCCGTCAACAGTTGCATATCTTTCCTGTTTTGTTTTCGCGGGAAACGTTCTAACCTCGTCGATTTATCAATTTCCGATCGTTTTCTAACGTCGTCGGGCAACATTTATGATTACTAACGCGCCGAGTTTATTTTCATATAGTTAGGGTTTTATGCCTGTCTGTTATCATAAATTCCCTATTATTATTACTAATTTCCCCTTATTACTACTAATTCCTTACCATTCGTTTACCACGCCTGGCGATTACAAAGCGGCGTATGCTTCCTGCAATTTAATCGCGATCTGTTTAACCGTTTTTTTCTTTCTTTTCCAACGACAGAGAGAAATTGTTTCGAAGAAAGACGAAACCGTTCTCTTTCTATTGGGACATGTCAATTCTCGGTATTTATTGGAAATGTTTCGGGAACAAAGATCGAGCGTATCATCACACGGTAAGTGTTACGCTTCTGTACGGTTTGCGAGAAGCCTTGGCTGAAATTGCCGAAGAGGGTCTTCCAGCAGCTTGGTCCAGACACGCCGCCGCAGCTGCCAGATTGAGAAAGGGTCTTGAATTACGGGGTCTTCGCTGTTACGTGAAAATTCCACGGTATCAATTATCCACAGTGACCGCTATAGAGCTGCCATCTGGCGTCGACGAGATGATCATTGTGCAACGAGCTATGGCTACGTAAGCTGCGTTTACGATCAAAACGTGATCTTGTCGCTATTCAATGATATACTTTCGGTTTTTTCAGCTACAAAGTCGAAATCGGTCGAGGCTTAGGACCTACCATGGGGCAAATATTGCGAATCGGTTTGTTGGGAATCAACGCCAAGTCTGAAACAGTCGACCTTGTCCTGAGGGCTCTCGACGAAGGACTGAAACATGCTTCACGACCAAAGTTATAAATAAAACTCATCGAGTATCGTTTAACCGTAAAACAAACAATTTCGCGATCATTTACGATCGTTAGGCAGTAAATTACAAAGGCTTCTTGTTAGTAATAATGTATGTTATTCCATTGCCCTTAGCGATAAATTATTTTCTAATATTTTCAAATACTTTGAACAATTGAATGACGATTTCGGATACCATACAGATTATCGAGCCTGCAACTTCACGTTTGTTTGTCGAACATTCGTACAGATGGCAGTGCAAACGCTCAGTGATTCTGCTCTTTGATCTTTGTCTCTAATTTCGTAAAGAAAATAGATCTAATTTATTAAATTTTGTGTGAATCACTGGGAATTCACGATCCTTACATTTTTGTAAGCGAAACGAATATATATTTTGGTTAGATATTTAAATAAAACACACGAACACGACAATACGTATTGTAAACTTGTTTTTGAGGTTATACCAGAGATTCAAATTTTACCTGATACTATAAGAAAATATAAACAGATTGAAAATGCCGTGAATTTATTATTTCCAGCAAGATAATTATCCCAAGCATGCATCATACATAGTTCAACGATATTTACTGTGTACAAATTCCCAAAATTATTGAAAACACTTCCCCCAGTCATCGGACCACGACCCAACCAGATTGTCTGGAGGGAAACAAAATCGAGAATGAGTTGATGTTACGTGTCCCAATCAATAAACCGGTCGCACAAACGAGACTCTATCGAGTGTATCTGTTTATTAATGGAAATACTGAAATCGGCATACAATTATCTCTAATATAATTATCTGTTTTACGTTCAATTATACGATTTATTACATTAATTAGCAATATCAACAATTGATTATTCTCACTTTTTTTACTCACATTCTTTCGATTTTCCATTCGCTCCCCTCTCTCAATACCTGGCTTGATTATCCATCGTGTAATAAGATATATACATTTCGAATTACACCTATAATGCAGTTACAACAAGTGGATTGAAGTAACGACGGTATCAGCGAATTAATAATTAATTATTGTTTTAATTGACGATCGTTTTGGCACAGCACGGAATCGGCGTGGATCTCCCGTACTAATTCTCTTCAAACGTATAGAAAACTCACGACGTTATCTCGTGTTGTACATGAAATATTTGTCGATGCTCGTGTATCGTGTAACCGGTGTAATGTAAGTTGCCACTTCTCGGAAGACACTTTTCGTTTCCCCGGGCGATCCTTTACATTTACGAATGAAATTCAAATAAACCGTGGCAACAGAATACTGTCTCATCGATATCGACGACATATCATCTCCACCGATATATTGCTTCCGATTGTTACTTAAATTTCTTAAGGCACTATTAACATGGCATTTCCGCGATTCTTGCACAATTTATACAGGGTGTTCGACCTCCCTTGGGAAAAATTTTAATGGGAGATTCTCAGGCCAAACTAAGACGAAAATCAAGAATATCAATTTCTTGACTGAGGCTTCATTAAAAAGTTATTAACAATTAAATTAAAAAATTTCGAATCGTTCTGGAAAAATTATTTTCGGTTGCGGGAGTGCGTTACAATCATTTTTGGTGAATAGATATAACCCCGAAATCCTATGCATTTTCGAGAAAAAAATTCCTTACCGAAAATCTAGGTGTCTAAATTTTTCGACGAAAAAAAAATTTCGAATCGTTCTGGAAAAATTATTTTCTGTTGCGGGTGTTAATTACTATCATTTTTGGTCATTACACATACCCTCGAAATCCTACGCATTTTCGAGAAAAAAATTCCTTACCGAAAATCTAGGTGCCCAAATTTTTCGACAAAATTGAAAACTTTCAAATCATTCTGGAAAAATTATTTCCGGTTGCGGGGGTCAATTGCAATCATTTTTGGTGAACAATCATACCCCCGAAATCCTGCGCATTTTCGAGAAAAAAATTCAGAACGTGCCAAACTTTAATTGTTAATAACTTTTTAACGAAGCCTCCATCACGAAATTGGTATTCTTGATTTTCGTTTTATTTTGGCCTCTAGAATCCCCCATTAAAATTTTTCCCATGGTTGTCGGTACACCCTGCATACATTTACAATGCACGTCGAACACGTTTCTCTATAAACATCGATTCTCACAAAATATATTTTTACCGATTTTCATCGGTATCGTTTAAACGCTGTTACGAGCTCGAGCGTCGACATTTTTTTTTTGTTTTTTTCGCGTATAATAATTCTTTTACCCTCGTGTAGGCGAATACGTACGACGCGTGTCGCGACGATCGTTATTTCAATACTTGCGTCGTCGGTGTCCATGAAAATCAGCAACGACGTTAGGCGAGTTAGTACAGTAAGAAAAGTAACGCGAGCGTAATGCATTTCAGGACGATACAGTATCTCTCAACGGCGATGTTAACGTTTCTCCGTCAAGATCGATAACATGCGCGTATTTACGAGAATGACTTTAACACTTAGCCAACGGTGGAGAAATGGGTTCAGAGGGGGAGGGGTGGCATAACCACATCTTTCATCACAGGCTTCTCGAAATAAATCTTCGTCGTTCTTGTACAAAATACGAATATTTACAATATCACTAACGAACAGAACGGTAGCTAATACCTCGTCGCTCGCTTATTTTAACCAACGTCATTACGTCAATCGTTCGTTAGCGCGCATACAATGTTTCCAACGGTTTCCTCGTAATTTCATGAATAAACGTTCAATGATGTAACAATTGCAACGGTGTCGTCCGTCGGCTAAGTGTTAAATAACCGTGAATATAATATTTATATATAATAACAATAATAATAATAATATTAAAATAGAATAATATTAATAATGATGGGCACCGTCGAAGCTACGAGTCCGACGTGCCCCAAAGATCCACTATCATTATATATAAATACTATCGATAATAATAATAATAATAATAATAATAATAATAATAATCGCAATATTGATAATCCATTAATAGTAGTCGTGATTCTCGTTACGTATTACATGCGCTTATGTACAAAACGTTGACAATAAATCGTCTTTAAGGCCACTACGCGGTTAATCTAGTCACTAATAGCGTTGACTAAACGCACACGATTTTCAAGGCATAGAAACGGCAAACAGCGAGTCAACGCCTCCCGTAAAGATCTACGAAATGTCGTGTATAGTATGCTCGAAGATATTGCCCGGGATCGGGCTACATTATTGCTCAGACGCGACACCTCGTCCCACAAATGGCGGTGTCATGTGACACGAAGCAAAGCCCAACTGTTCCCTGCGAATTCTGGATCCCGTTTCGTCCGAGACGGATTCTCGAACGAAATTTAAAAATAATAAACCATTATTTTCTAAGCATTTATCTACTCGAAGTCTCGTCATTCGATGCGCAGTCGGGAAATTATCGAACAGAAGCATCGACATTCTAATTATTAGTTTCGAGATTGAAAGCGACGTAGAACCGAGAAATTAAAAAAATTTTTTATTTCCTTTAACGAATTACGAGTATTGTTAACGTTTTTAAAAAAATACTAGCTCGTCGTACGGTAACGCTAATACTTATCTTCGTCTATGGACGCAGTTGGATGCTTCGTGTTACGTTCTATTGAAAGAAAAAAAAATGGCGTATCAGAAATGTTTCAAAGCGACCAGGCCTTGCCAGCTGCCGCGGCTACGCGTAAACCGCTATCCCCTTTTCCTTCTCGTCTTTCATCACCGATCGGATCACTGTTCTTTTCCCTCTAGCTTGCCCGAAAAGACACCTTCAGGGCCTTAGACTAGATAATAAAGAAATGCACAGAAAGATATAGCCGTGAGATGCTTATCGCGGTGCAAGCCGTGAAACTTACACTCAGGCCGGAATATGCTGTTCGTTCGAGATAATTTTTACTAAAATCATAAATTCACTTTGAAACTCCTAATTCCGTTCAAATCCATTTCAAATATTCAAATTTTATTTAACGTTATTCGAAGCAGTTCAATTTTGTTGAAGATGAAAAACCGAAGATATATTATTTCGTGCCTGAACATGTTCTCGTAGGTATAGTACTGTGTGAGCCGTCAAGCCTGGCAAAATTAAGCGAAATCGCGAGAAATACGGTTGTTAGAAACAGTATAGAATTTTTACAAATACTTTTCTCCCTTATTGTCTTTAAGTCAAAGTTCTGTATTTAAAAAAAAAATCTTATTACTTTATACTTGTTTCGTTTTCGTCGATTTGCATACGCATTAAAAAAAAAAAACAGACGCACGCTCAACACACGCTTACGTTAACAATTTTTTCCCACCCATACACGCACACACGAGCGGCACATTACGAATGCACACGCAACTATAGCGACTATCAGCATTAACTTAATTTAATGCATATTCTGTTTCTAAATTCGACCTCCGAAGTTGCGCGAACGTCGTTCGCGCATCTCCGTTTCGCTATCGAATAACTTACAAGAGCCTGACAATAAATACGTCTATAAATTACAAAAAAAAAAAAAAATAAAAAAAAAAGGGTTGCTTCCTCCTCCCTCGAAAAGTTACAAATAAAACGCCGCGAATCGAACCTTCGTCGACGCGAATGCACCGCCATCTTAATGCGGCCATTGCCCCGACCGCGGCGGTATCAATAATAAGTTATTATTAATAACAATCGCGACAGTTCCATCGACGATACCGATAATAGCGACGATAATAGGTAGCACTAACATTTATACTATTTTAAAATAGTAATAGAAACATTATTAATAATAATAGATACAATGATAACGACAAATGAACGATGATAACGATGATTGGCGACGATTGACGAACGATGGACCAACGAGAGTGATGCTAAATTAACGATTAATAATGTCGATGACGTAAATCTTACCAGTAATTACTCGTAATAATCAGAATAAATCAGAAGTTGGAGTTAATAGTAAACGTTAGCATACGCGCAATGATAACTGATGCCACCATCGGAGGTTCTTCAGTCTTCTTTGGTTACTGGGTAACTTGGTGAGGTTGGTGGGTACACGGTAGGGCTCCACGTTTACCGCCACGACTAAACTCCTCTTTCCCCCTCCAATCCCTCTCGGGGTTAGTTGGCACTCCTGCCGCGCGTTTTCCCCTCCCCCCCTCCAACGATTATCTTTTTCTCCGCTCCGCGAACAGCTGTTCGAATTTCGGCCTCGAAATGGTTCGTAGTTTTTTAAACTGAGATTCGAATCGTTTCGAATTTAATTTGAAGGTTAGAACTCTCGAATGTCTTGATAGATTCGATAGCGTTAAAAGTTTCGATAGCAGTCGAACATAGAGAATATAAAAGAGACAGAGATTTGATTGTTGAAACGATCACGTCGCAATTTTGTTGTGTCAAGTTCAACACTGCAATACTGATCGTTTCCACGTTCGAATCTCACTTTTACTCGCTACCCTTTTTTACGTTTCATCTTCGAGATTTTCGAGAGTCCTAGGCTTCGAATCATATTCGAACCGATTCGAAGTGCTTAAAATACCATTCGCTACGAATAGCCGTCTCGTACCGTGACAGGTCACTCGAGATAGAGAGCGGTGGTTGGCTTCCGGTCCGTTTAACCGTTGATGAGAGCCAATTGATTAATGAACGTCTGGCCCCGCGGTTTGTGGGTGCTGCGAACCCCAGAACGAACGACCGACCAAGCGACGGGAATATAAGAATAGCGTCCGACGAACGATCTTCTCTTCCTTTGGCTCGCATTATTCTTATTTATTATCATTACGACTTCCTGTGCGCGCCTATCTTGTCCAGCGTCGAATTTTTCTGACTCGCTGATTACCATCTTCCGTCCGCGATCCAAACGACGTTCGGAATAACCGTTAACGAGCTCCTCCCTTTAACACTTTTACCGCTGACAATAACTTCGACGCAGAACGGTGGTGCACGGAAGACATATTCACGCATCGAGCATATTTACACACCGAACACCCCATAAACGTTTACCGAACGTAGTTGGGACTAGACGCCTATAGGCATCGATAGCGACCGAGAGAGGTTAAACACGGAGTTCGCGACACGCGTCGTTTCTTACGCTAACCTGGGTACCGAGGAGTTTCCTTGCTGCCTGTACGCGCTCCACAGAACGCAGGATTTCCGTGCTCGATGGCAGCGAACTGTGAACGAAACTAGAAATGCGTGGAGAAGTACTGAATCTTGAATACGATCGAAAACGGTAGAAGAACACTGAACGAGAAAACATCGTTCGACCGGTACGAATGCCCGAAAGCACATGACGTTCGCACGCGCAGCTATCTTGCGCATTACGTATCTAAGAAGAACCGTCCCATTGGCGGGCACGTCTCGCGTAGCTTTTCGCGAGGGAACGATATTTTTACTCGTTCGATCTCGAGCATTCTTCCGTAACAATGATTTTTTCGATTTTCTGTATTATTATTTTGTCACGCGAACACGGTTCAAAAGGATGTTACTCGCGGTCTGGTAATATTTTTGTGATCGTTGCTTAGACTTTACGGCCCAAATCGAACAACTCTTTGATCAAGGTCTACGCGTCTCGCGACCAGACGACCTCGTTGAATCTTGTTCTCGTGTAAATTTTTTCGGATCGACTTCGAAACTGTGAGTCTATTTCCGCCACTCTTCTTATATACATTTTAAACATAATTCCCTGTTCTATGTTTTACTCTTGCTATCAGTTCTTGCAAGCAAGACTCCCCAGTCGATAGAGTTCCAACGATTACCCTTCAGGCCCCGAATAAGTCTAGATCCGCCTCTGCCCTTCTATGCACGATTCAGAACCTGACACCCACGCAACCGAATCAACTAGCGTTTTCGTATGGTCTCTGGCCCCATAAACGAGAGGTACCCTGGCCCGGAGGAACCGATTCCCTTCGTCCGCTCGACGAGCTTTTTATAATTTTCGCAGCTGCGTCGATTCCCCGGTACGTCCGTCGCTTGGCACGTCGCTCTGGCGTCGTTGTCGGGACGACGACGAAACACACGAGTGATCGCGAACCCGACGACTAACGAAAACCAAGGCTCAGGAAGCGTGTTATTCCGTGAACCAGGAGAGTTCGGAGGAGGTTCGCCGGTTGGGCTGTACTCAGCTGAGCTCGCGCGGTGTCACCGAGTGCCGTCCCGGATGATGATTGTTGCGATGATGACGCCTCGCCCGACGGCACTGTACCGTGCAACAGTCGTCGGCGTCCGCCACGTATTCCCCACGTTTCATCTGATGCACTATCGAGTTACAAAGCGCCCGTGGACACCGTTTTCTGTCGCACCTCACGTCCCCGTTCTGCAAAACAAAACCAGACGGCGAAGCATCGCGTTAGACTAGGGATGAAAACAGTTCAATATAGCCAAACGAAACGATAATAAATATCAGAATGTTATATCGTTTCACCTAGTTCTCAACACGATGTCGATAATAATTTGAACCTAGTCGATTTCGCCGAAAAATTTGTTCACATATTCGAATTTTTTTCTCGAAAATGAGTAGGATTTTGAGGGTATGTCTATTGACCAAAAATGATTGTAATCGACCCCCATAACAGAAAATAATTTTTTTAGAACGATTTGAAAATTTTAATTTTTTCGAAAAATTTGTCCACTTAAACGAATTTTTTTCTCGAAAATGAGTAGGATTTTGAGGGTATGTCTATTGACCAAAAATTATTGTAATTGACTCCTGCAACCGAAAATAATTTTTCCAGAACGATTTGAATTTTGTCGAAAACTTCCCACCTACTCGAATTTTTTTCTCGAAAATGAGTAGGATTTTGAGGGTATGTCTATTGAGCAAAAATGATTGTAATTGACCCCCCCCAACTGACAATAATTTTTTCAGAACGATTTGAAACTTTTTAATTTTTTCGAAAAATTTGTCCACTTACTCGAATTTTTTTCTCGAAAATGAGTAGGATTTTGAGGGTATGTCTATTCACCAAAAATTATTGTAAATGACCCTCGCACGCAAAAATAATTTTTCCAAAACGATTTGCATTTTTTTAATTTTGCCGAATAGTTTTCACCAGCAAAATAATGATACAGCACTATAAACAGATTCTGAAGGATCCAAGCACGAATAGCCCCGCCCATCCAGGGTGAATCTTCCGTTCTACCAGTTATAGAAGCTAGACACGATAGAATCGAACGGAACACGGGACACCGTGAAGCAACTATAAGGGCGATCGTGATCTCGGGGACTCGAAACGATACTTTTTCTCGGGCGTAATGCGATCTGTGGCCGCGTTCCATTTTCATCGTAATGGATGGACCCTTTTAATGGCCGATCCGGGCGAACGAGTCCGGTTAAAGGTTTTCTCCTTAGAGGTCTGGGCGTAGCGACCGTGTCTGTGCAATGCTGCGAGCATGCTTCTAACGAGTATGCTGGCAACGAGCAAAAGTAAAGCGAGCCGCGGCCGTTTTTTCGCCAAGACCTTCGCATAATAATGAAACCACGAACGAAAACGCTCGGGGACTTTCTTGTCCTCTAAGCCACGACCGACTATAGCAGTCGAATCGCGAAAGAAACCCGAGTCAAAAATTGTTTTAATTCCATGCAACCGATACACGGTATCATAATCGTTTATAAGTCTTCTTTATATATTACACTATGTGTCTATACTAACGTGAAAGTGGACGTTTCAGTGATTGTTTACATTCGCTTGTTTAATCAGTAAATGTTGATTTAAACGTACGTTTGTTTGCGAAGTATTCACACTCGCTAGTTACTGTGTACACTTTCTAGAGTTTACCATTACTATGTTCAGTGAAAGCGTATTTATATTTATCTTGTTTCGAGAACCATGTCATTCTGTTATTATTGTAAATTTCAAAATTATATTTTATGAAAATAATCATTAACGAGACAAAATTTGCACCGAGGAAAAAGCTATAAAAAGTTTTATTCTTTAATTTTAACAAGTTTAAACAACGAGTTGCTCGTTACTTTTATAGTTTGCCATAAGACGGGCAAGTTGACTCGTTAGGCGACTTGAGTTAACAGCTCGTTAACTTAACATCCCCCATGACCTTGAACGACCTTTGCACCGTGCTTGTAAAACAAGTCCGAACAAGTGTCGCCGCACCGTGGCGGAGGAAGGATACGCGAACCTGCTTAAAAATACGAAAAAGAAGAAGCATAATAAAATGAAGGTGCCCCTGAAATTTCCTGTACGCGTCCATTCACAAGAAAGCTGTTTCCACCGTGCAACGACACTCTTGACGCAGAACAACTTTTGCCAGCGAACCGGTTTTTCACATTGTTTAAAAGGACTGAAATATTTCTGGCGGACACCGGTTATCGCACCGCCATCTGTACTCCGTTGCATATTCCGGTCGGCTTCGCGGATTGCTAGCTTACAATTTTTGGGTCAGACGGGCTCGACTAGACTTTCAACTTTCAGCATTATTTGACAAATTCTCCAAACACCGAGAAACGCAGCGTATTTATCACGGCGCGCAGTATTTCAATACGCGTCTTAACATTTATTTTCATAACCTCGCTAAAACTCGTGAACCCTGTTACGATCGAAACATAACCTAACAACTTCAAGCAGAGATACACGTTACTTGCACCGCTCTCGTAAACGAACAGTTCAATTAAAGGGATTTAGAAATGCTCGATATTTCCCGTGACATCCTAATAACTGTCCCAACTCGATAATCGTACGTCTGTCGGGTTCGTCCGTGAGCGATACACCCGTGAAGGATGCAGAGACGCGGTCTTTTGGATCGTGTCGGCCAGTAACTTCAGGCACGAGTGGAATGCCGCTGACGAGGGGGTTAAGAGCGATCGTGTAAACCGGAAATTGTCGCGCTCGCCGAGTAAAGTACCGTGACGATCTCGTGCTACTAGTTCTGAAACGTTACGCGTCCAATGAAAACAGCTTTGTGTCAGTTGCGCCGCCAGAAGCGATCCATTAATCGCCCGCTCGAACTTCGTCTTCTTCGTTGCTAACAAATCGTACCGTATGTTTTCATTTCTATCCCCGGGTATTGCTACTTCGCGGAGCCCCTCCAATTACGCGGCCACGCAAACGTCCAATTCGTCGCAACTCGCGCCGCGCATGGGAGCGTCGTTGTACATCACGCTGACACGTTCACAGGTGCATCCTCGCTCGACTGCAATTTGCGCGCACTATAACTGACACCGCAACGAGGGTAAATAAAATTCGCACCTCTGCCACTTAAAACCTTCGCGTTGATCATCGTCGCGAACAATATACGCTTTCCCCGTGATCGTTAAGTATATTCTGCGTTCACGTCGCTGCAATCTGTCTACCGTCTTAATTCCTACGGTGTACAAAGTAGCTCTTCGACCGTACCGCGTGATTCGCGCAGGGAACGGTTAGGTAAGACGATATAGTTGACCCCCGTATGGGTTGAATTATTTTTTTCACTTTTATTTAATTAAGGACGAGATTTAAAAAAACGATACGAGGCTGGATTGTCCGGTCGACGATTCTGTACAAAAAACAATGGAGTTTTTTTTCTCGTTCGTTCTCCCACGGTTTCTTCGGTTGTCGACTATGGCCGACGACAAAAGATAAAGACGACTCCGAGGCTCAACGATATCGCAGAGTAAAAATAACTGCTGGGTGTCGGATTTCGTCGCAGCTGCACGAAAGATGACACGTCAATCCCGAAGCGACGTTTATTGCTCTCTCACTTTTATACGAAGCTTGTATTTTTTTCAGATGACGTATTCCCAAGGTTACCGAAATCAACGAACGAATCCTATTCTGAACGATTATCGTGTGTTTTATCGGCGTCGGCGAGTACGAGTCAAATTAGTCGTTAAATCGTCGAACAACCACGGATATTTACGATCGTCAACCTGGTATAGCTAAATTCTAAACTGCACCGCCAGTGGTTCTCACCTTGCACCTGCACTTGACGCATTTCATCTCGCCGTGCGAGTGGACGCGCGGATGCCACTCCATCCCGTTCTCGTATGGTCCACCGAGGGGATACTTGCAGCCACCGGAAGCCAGTATCTCGTCAGCGGTGCGTCGCGTGGAGGGGGCGGCCTGGTCCCGCGGTAGACGCGTCGTGTCGCCCACGACGCCGGTGTTCAGGGTGCTGGGCGTCGTCGTCGGGCACTGTCTGCAGCAGGCCTTCTTGCTCGGTCTGAAGGCTAGCTTCTCGTCGCAGTCCAATGGCGGACACTGCACCCGCGGGCACTTCACCTCCAGCGTGACGGGCTGCAAGATAAATGGGAACTTCGGTCGATAAGTAAAGCCACGCTCTTCTTTCTTTTTCTTTCAATTCCGGTCGAATAAAATTTTCCTGGCAATAAATATCCTACCCTTCGTTCTCTAAACAATTACTGATATACGAGGCAATGTCTGCGGCGCTTGTTCTCTCTCGATTAATCTTCTATTTGGATTGATCTTAAGAAACTGTTACACCTCTATGTATAATTTTATAATGACATAAATTGAAACGTAAATGCTCGTCGCTGTTGAGTGTAGGTCAGAAACGGGTTGGCATCCGACGGTGAAACGTGGTTTTCCCGCGTTACGTTTCTAATGGACGCGTTAAAGTGGAGAGGCCTGCTCAGGCGCAATTTAAGTGACAAGCAATGGATCAAAACTGTACGCGTTATCTCCAGTAATGAACGTGACTTTGTGCAACGCGTTCCGAGCATGACTTCAAACAATTTACCAATATCTATTTAGAAAGGCCTGTCACCGATTGCTGATCGCTCGGGCTGTGCTCCTTCGTGTCCCGGCGGAGAGTAACCGCATTCTTCTGGCGCAACGGTGTCTGGTTGAATTTTTCAACCAGAAAACGTTGGCCTTATAAACGTCGGGGCTTTATAATATGCGTCCCGGGATCGTTACGAAATCTGCATCGCGAGCGAGTGCATGGCAAAGAGGTAAACAAAGAATCTGGAAATACGTCGTGCGCGCGCGGAACTTCGTTGCCGAGGAATCCGTTGCGAAGCGTACTGAAATAATTTGAATTCCCCGGTTTCGAAATTCGAGCCAGAGCAAAGAATGCCGAGACTGGCGAATGCCCGTAACAATTGCAGGCAAGAATGGTACTCGCGTATGTATACTGGTAAATAGATGCTCGTTCACGGATTACGTCACGCTGAATTTCTTTGATTTCTAACCTCCTTGTAAACTTACGTCACAGGTGCAGACCGCACAAGTGTCGAATCCTACTGGTGGCAAATAGGGATGCCAGGACGCTCCAGCCAGGTGGAATTGACCAGCCAGGGTGCAGCCCCTCGTTATCGAGCTGACGTTCTTCCCCGTTGCGTTCATGTTGATTCCAGGACCTGGGTACAGAGATCCGAATGGAATTCACAATTTTAACAATTAAATATCACGCGAGGCTCGAGGTCTTCGAGAGTTTTGAGCTTCGTATTAGGTAAAAATGTTTCATGCAAGTCGAATCTGACACAGATTCGGTCCAGTGTTCCAGGAAACGTCGTTTATCTAAAATTAATTCCGCCGACTGTGGCGCTGGTCTGCCGTTGCGGCGGGACAGCGACGCAAGGACAAGGAGATGTCGCGAGCGCGAATAAACAACGCAATGGACAGCGGAGAACCGGACGAGCGGAACATCGCCGGCGGGAGAGAGACGGACGACCGATTTAATTAGATACAGTTGAACGTCAATGTATCGGTAGATAGGATCGAAAGAAAATGACGGATCAGCGCCGGTCTCTGGCTTAATTCGATTCCGTTCGAGACGCGTTTTTCCCGACACGGGAGACGCACTCCGCCTGGGTAATACGTCTCTATCATTTGAACACGTCGCGTGGAAACGGTTTCTGATTTGTCTGGCCGATTAGCCGACTGGGAAACGAGATCTGCAAATGGAACGTCTGGACCGACCGATTTATGATTCCCCGTCGAGCACGGTGTACACGATGAGTCACGCGAGTGGGACAGGTCCCTTTTTTTTTTTCTTTTCGACCACGAATAGACAAGATTGATTGGCTCGAGTACGTCCAATCTGCCCGGGATCGCAATTTTCTACGAGCGCATCTGCGATTGCGGGTTTTCGTTTTAGTTTTTCTCTCTTTTTTTTTTCTTTTTAAACAGCAGTGACTGCGTTCGCGGTTGACACTAGATTAAATTAATACGAAGCTGCGAATTGTCGAGACGACGCGAACGGAGGATAAATTCAATATTGGTTCTCGGGAATTCAATTTATTGCCACTTCGGGATGGAAGTTTAAATGTTGACCGAACCAGCGCACAGTGTACGCAAGCAATTTGGACTTCGTGCACAGGACGCTTTATCTTCGTTACAATCGATCGAACGCAGCGCCAGGAGTGAAATTCGAGGCGGAATAAATTCTTCGGCCAAGGTCATAGACGGCGCTACCCCCTTCCACCGAGCTCTTTGCCGACTTCGCCACTTTGTCTCGACTATTCTTCACCGTAAGGAAGTGAATGGAAAGGTTCTCGACAATGTGTCCAACATTGCGTATGCTGGCAACGGTTCAATTTTGAAGTTTAATGTTTATGAAGTTCTATAGCATCGTTGCCAACACGTTTCTATAAATATATATAAACTAGATGCGCGAAGGGAATAAAATATTTTTGTATTCGCGACGATCAATCATGGATCTCGATTCGACCACATTCTATCCCCCGAGTGGAAAACCGCAACGAGCGTCGATTGTATACTGTTAGATCGACGCTTGCAAAAAACGATCGTAAGCGCGCCGGAATGACAACTGGAAACGGACACGGTGCAAAGTAATTCTCGATAAACAGTCGTATAATTGAAACTGGCTGTAGATAGGCGTAGCTAATTCTACGCGATTACTTTCACGGAGCGTGACACGGGTAATCGGATTTAATACCAACCGCAGACGTACGCGCGGCTGTTGTCTTGATTCCCCGCCAGGGTTTATCGAGCGACACCGTCGGAAGGGAAGGATAATTAATTAATCCTGCGGTCGACGAGCACGCGTTATCCGAGGCAACGGGTACTCCGTGTGCCAATGACGTCGCGTTCTTGCCGTGTTCCTCCATGACAGTAATCCCGCAGGATTAGAGACTAATCGTAACAAAGTAAGCGAAACTTCGCGGCGATTTAATGGCGCGTTTACAAGGTGATCGCCATTACTCTAGCGTGGCGACATCTGTCGAGATGGAATTCCGCCGCCTGAGGGCTACGACGAACGACCATCGAGGCTAATTGCCGATCAAGAGGTTAGGTTCTGGCGCGCAAGTTCTCTCAAGATTTATAGCTTCGTTGAAACAACTGTATCTTCGACTATTTTACATATTTTTATATATCATAATGAACTCGGAATCTAAAAGAATAAAGCCTCCCGAATGATATGAATCTCGAGTTCGTACCTGAACATATAGGGCAACAGTGTCCAACAGGGGGCTTGAGCTGCTTGCCCTGGGGGCAGGTGAGCGCCGGACAGGGCACGGGATCGCACTGGGCCAGCCCGCGATAACAGTGACACATGGAGCAAGGATCGGTGCCGGACGTCCACTGCGTGCCCTCCTCGTAGAACCTGGTGTCGTGGAAGCAGGCGCCCGTCTCGATGTCCGACCGTGGGGGATGAAGATTGTACGCTACCACCGAGGCGACGTCGTTGTCCGCGTAGTGTGGAAGGCAGCTGAGAGGCGCCCTGGTCTTGAACGGCGCCTTCAGTACCCTGTCGGCCTGCTTGTCGGTCACCTCCAGGAACCCGATGCCAGATTCGATTCTGTAGAGTTCGACGGGCGACAGTCCGGTGACGGAGCCCTCGAGGACGTATCCGTTGAACTCTTCCAGCAGCCTCCTGGCAACTGGTGCACCTTGGGCCAACAGAGGCATGGTCTCCAGGTAGAGACGGAAGGTGCGCGGTTCGTGGATGTTGGCGGCGGGGGTTTGGGGGAAACCGGCGATCTCGAGCTCGTAGTGCAAAGAACAGTCCAGGTCCACTGCCGTCCAGACCAGTCCAACCGGACCGGGTTGCACCGGTTCCTGCGACGGTCTCCTGAGCAGGACTGGCGCGGCCGTGTCCCTGGCGTCGGCCACGGGCCTCTGGAACAGCCGACCGCGCAGCTGGGACCCGACGTGAGAAGCAGCGACCACGGACAGCTCACCGTTGAACAGCGGCTCGAGGAGTCGGGGACCCGGACGGTCCAGCGACCCGTTGGCCAGTCCATCCACCAACGAAGGCGTCAGGTCTTCCAGCTCGGTGCTACGTTTGCCTCCATCGTCGACCAGTGTGACCAAGGGACTCTCCTCCTCCAATCCGATCAGCTGGACGCCGTAACGCAGCGAGCCTGCGCGGTCCAAGAACGCCCAAGCCAGCCCCGACGCGGCGGACGGTGTTTCCGACTGCAGCAACGTCTGGTAGATGTCGCAGGTAGCTCGCGGCCCGACCACTCCTGCCAACCGTAACGCTTGTGGATCCTTTCTGGACATCACGCTGATGGACAACTTGCCGCGCGTCAGTAGTCGCAGGTCCGCCCCGGACAGGGCGCTTCTAACCTCGCCGAAGTTCAGCTCGTTCGAGGGTTTCTTCACTACGATCTCCTCGCGAAGCACCACGTAGTCTTTCTCCATGTGTTCCAGCTGAACGATCAGCGGCACTTCCGCCACGTCGTTGGGCAAGAATACGCCGTTGAACACCAGAGACACGTGGATCGAGGGCGCGGAGGCCGACGACGCCGAGACTATGGCCGTGGCCCCGGCGCCGGACATCAGCGACCGATCCACTCCCATCGTCGGTTCCAGCAGCGAGGAGAACTGTTCCGTGGCCAGGGCGCGGTAACGAGACAACTGTCCCGTCAGGGTGGCCGACGGCTCCCATATGAACGACACGTGAAGACGCTCCTCGCGCAGAAGCTTTCTGTAGTCGCGGGGAACGCGCCTCCACACGCCGCACAGCTTGCCCGTCGCGTTCTGATAGACTCCGCCGATCGGGTCGATGGTCTGCTCCTCCAGGATGCTGCCCGACCCATCCACGAACTGTATGTTACGCGGTCGGGGCGTGGAGGTCGATAGGTAGAAGGAGTAGTAGAGGTTCTTGCGATGGAAGGTGAAACGTCCGGTCGCCAGGTAATTGTACGCGCTGTTGAACATGGACGTAGGAGTGGGCTCATCCCGACGCAACGCCTGGGACGTCCTACCCGTTAGCAGGGTCCCGAAATCTGCAAGTGGACGAGCAATTAAGCGAACGGACCTTGACGTCAAAGAGATCGTGAAAAGTAATCGAGACAATTACGTTTCAAGCTTCGTTCCTCTTCCTCCGAGGTCAACTGTGCTGGCAGGTCCTGCACTATGTCCGTACCTGGAACATAACCAGCAAAATTATGCCCATGATTATCTCTATTAATTGTAATAATAATAATAAGTATTTTTTGTACAAGACTTGTATACGTTAAGAAAAGAAAATTTCCATCTCTTTCTATCAGATTAATCTCATAGTTATGCTGTCTCGTTAGTGGTGTTCACTGGACGCAGGTTTCGAAAATGTTTTTACCGGTTTTACGCTCACAAACGCTCCTTCCAAGTTGTATTCGGTCTTCCTATTAGCAGCACGGTTCCTACCATTTTGCCGACGACGCAACGTTCGCTCGTAATCGAATATCCGAGACGTAAAAACACTGTGGTCGCAAAAATGCCTTTATAGCTCGTAAATCGACGGAAGACGATCGCGCCCGCCATCGTACCGCTCAAACTGCCCTCTGGCGAGAAACTCCTCGTTAAAGTTCGTCCATTAACACGTTCGTTGACCACAAAATTTTTTGAGGTTATTTCGTTTCTGCGCTCCTCCAGCGGATTCGAATACGAATGCTTTTATACGTACGAGAATATTTCAAATAAGAGGGGCAAAATTATTAAGAATTAAATGCTTTTGTTTTTGGAATCCATATCTAATATATCTGATAAAATGATCGAAATTTCGCGATTAAAAAATCTAGATTCGGACATGACAGCGTGGAAAGATTGAAACGGACACCCTGTATACATGGTGGCATATTCAGCTGAACGCCAGGTACGTAAATATATGATAGTGGGCAGCGAACGTGTTAAGCGGCGATGATATACGCCCATCGAGCCTCGGAGCGCTGAAACGATCGACCCTGAGAAGACAAGAGTCGTTGGAGAGGGACAGAGAGCTTCTACATATAAGGACATTCGATTTCTAAAATATAAACTAAAGCACGATTGCAGCTTTATCGTCGTATCAAAAATGTGGTGTTTCTTAAGTTCGATTCGGTTACAAGAATAATGTAATTTAATATCCAATGCTACAAGAGTCTTAAACTAGATATAGTATTGCACTAGCTGCAAAACGCAGTTCCCACAGGTGCACGAGTCTCAAAATCAAGTGGAATATTCCAGTAGCTAATACCGTTTGGAAATTTGAGTGAAAAATATCGCATATTCGATGAAAGACTGTTTTCGAGTGGACACGAGAGACAAGGCAAGGGCGACACCGTGCGCCCCGAGTCGACGTTAATACGAAAATAACCGCACAGAGTGCGCTGTGAGCGAAAAGAGGAGACAGCGGCCGGGCCATACGGAGGAGAGGTCGGGACGAGTGACAGGGAAAGGGGGGGGGTGAAGAAAGGAGGGTCAGTAGGGGGAACGTGGATCCTCATTCAGCCGCGACGTGTGTACGGACCATAAAGAATGCCAGTGGGGTAGGAAAAGAGGCGGCTGGCGCCAACCACCGCTACTTTGAATGTTGCTTTTATGGCGCATACCGCGCCGATCCAGCCGCGCGGATACGTTAATTGGTATACGTACAGCACGGGCCCAGTGACAGCCACCCAATGGCCACGGGAATACTCGCGACGTCGTTTCACCTTTCTGACCGTCGTGTTCACCTTTTAACCCCCGACTCGCCGGCGCAGGTTAACGCACGCTGGGATACCATCGGATCGTCCTCTTTGTTTTTTCCCCTTTGAACTTTGTATATCGCTGCTTACGCGAATCGCAACGAATGCGCGCGCAGGGACTTACAAGCCTAACGAAACCGACGGTTACGACACGAGCGGGACACTGTCCGCTTTTTGCTCGGCCAGTAGCAACGGACAAAAGGCCATGTGGTCCGTGGCACGACCGCGCGGCGCCTCGATTCTTTATCTCGCGCGCGTTCAGAGGCGAACGAGATTGCCGAAAAGGCAGCACTTTTCGACGAATTACGTCGGCCCCCGACACGCCGTCATCGATATTCGCGATCGCGTCGTAAATCTTTCTGAGGAACGGGCTTTGATGTTCTGTGCTAAATAAAGTTGATATACCAGTAGCCAACCATTTAGGAGAATATTGTCACGAGAACTTATACGCTGTAAATAATTGTAAACTCAAACAATTTTTCTCATTCTTTCTTCAAGATTTATTCGGTACCAGTCACGTCACCGTACCATCCGGGAGATAATTGACGATAAATATTACAAATCGTTCGTATTAATTTCAATAATATTTTAAACACACAACGAGCAAACTTCTTTGTCTCTTTTTTTGTTTTCCTAGAAAAATGGCCGACAACGTTTTTTCGTTCTTTGTGAAACCGATGCAAATATTGCAGCCATCGTCGCAAAAAATAACACAGCCGTTTACGGGGAGCCTATATGGGTGTAGATTCGTGATTTTACGACAAGTAGCCGCGACTAGAAAGAGCGCTGAGGCCGTTTAATGGCATTCACACGGGAACCGACACTTTAAGCGGAACGTTTAACCGAAGGACGGTCGTTATTCAGGATTAAACGCGTTCGTGAAAACCGCGCCAAAATCTGCGCGCTCGACAGGATACCTTTCACGCGTTCCCACAGAGCCTAACTTCGGAGACGAGCAACTTTCTTAGGCAGATAGAAATTTCGAACAGCGAACGATGGATAAACAAATGTAAACTTAATTTATTGCAAACAAGTCCATGTATCTTTAAAATAAAATTAGAAAAAAAATAGAAAATATAATTACACTATAAATTTAAATATAGAAATATTCTTCCTTTATTTATTAATTCTTTTAATTTTATATTTATCCCATCATTACTCGACTAAATAACACAAGAGTAATTCTTGGTTGGAAAAGTTTCGGAACTCTCGACGTAGAGGTTATGTTCTATCGCTCGTTCTATGGTTATAATCGCCGATATACGTGTGTAGCATTTCAGTGATGAATTGGGAGCATAAAAACAATGAAAGAATTTAATACAAACATATGTCTGCAAGTCGAGCTAGTATAACTGGTTCTTCTAAACTATTCATAGACTATGCTCGATAACTTCTCGATATCTCTCAACCTTGTTGACTATTCTGTTCTATAAGTCGGTCTAATTCGTTTTCCTGATACGAGCACTTGATATTTCTGTAACTTGTTGTGTGTCAGAAACGATAATGAACAAGTAATCAAACCAGGAAATAGCTAGACGTGGATTTGATGTATAGACTCGCCGAATGTAACTCAGCCTAAGCAAGACGTCTATATGCAAATCGTTCCTCCATTAACCGTCCGCCGAATAAGAAAACGTTTCGAAGATTACACAGACGCCTCTACGGATACAGGTTTGTTTAAAATCCGATCCACGGTCGGTCGGTGTCGGGACTGGTCGTTTAAAGCAGCGGCAATAGAAAATGGCGGACACGCGACAACGCGACGAGCCTTAAAAAAAAAATGTGTCGAAGAGATAATCGTTATTGAAGCTGGTTCCACGAGTCACGATACACCCTGTACATCTAGTAATTTTACATTCCCTGTCTACGGACGAGGTCCTTTTCCCACGGTGCGCGAAATTAGCGACGATTGAAGCGACAGCTCGAGAGACCCGTCGGCACCGGGAGTAACCGTGAATGATCGCAATCAAGCGGACGGCGCCGGCAAAAAGGTCGCGGCTCGACTCTTTAAACGGCGATACGCTATTGTGGCGACCTCCTTGGCGAAGTACAGAACAACCACGCCAGAGGGCCAAAAATTAATATCGTACGTTTGCTTCTGTTCCATACGCGTTCAACAAAATATATTTATGCCTCTCGTTTGTTCCAACGAGCCACAACCCATCGACGATCTCTACACAAATTTATGCGTCTATCGAGGTGATCGTTTAAGCGATATTGTATATCAAGAATAATGTCGTTTGGCGTCTCGTGGAATTATGGGGTTAGGTTCGCTACGAACGAAACGCATAACTCAATCGCCAGGACGGTTCCTGTCCCCGGGGTGGTCGTATCGGGAAGAATGACTTCGTGGAACTAGAAGGAATAGATAAACACCCGGGTTGCGGGCACCTGTGAACACCGGTTGCCCCCAGGGGCACGTGGGCTGCTCTGCCCTTGCCTCGTCACGGTCCCAGACACACGGAAGTCGATGTCATAAGGCAAAACGAGGAAAAAAATAAAGGAAACGTTACTGATTAATCGATCTGCTTCGTATCCTTAAGGATGGTCATTCCGCGTGTCGGGTCGAGAAAGAGGAGGTGGAAAAGGAGGGCACAAAGAACAGATGCGAAATTAGCAACGATAAAAGCGCGCGAGATGATAAAGCGGCGGGTACGATAAGAGGTGACGGAAGAGACGGGAAACGACGACGGGTTGGGCCTCGTTGGAAGAGGAATGGCACGCAAACGAACTCTCCCTCCCCCGCGGTTCCCCCGCGACCTTCCCAAACCCTCCCTCCGGGCCGAGGCTCCTCTCTCGTCTATTCTCATTCCCGCGCGCGAGCGTTATGCCTGATCATTACGTATGCTAATATTTACATTTAGATTGCACGGCTTAATCGAAGTGACGCCACGCGGTAATATAGCCGGCGCCATGGCGCTAAACCGTGGCGCCCGACCACCTCCCCCTCCCCCTTAGCCTCTCGACCGCCAACCTTTCCGTTCCTCTTCGTTCCTTTCGCTCTATCATCGCGCCTCCCTCTCTTTCCCTCCTCTTTCACTCGACCGTGTCTACCGTTTCTTTATCATCGACCTTTTTTCCCTCAACCTCCACGCCCGCCCACCCTCTCACCCTCTTCTAACCCGCCCTGGGTAATTCCTGTCTCACGGGTCATTATCCCGCCACTTATCTCGCTACACCGCCACAATGGTCCCCGAACGCCCAAAAAGTAGCAAAAATATCACTTTCCTTATTCCTCGAGAAATTGCTCCCTCCGACGTCCGAGACGATACAGCCCGTGTTTTTCGTTTATTTTCAAACACATAAATACAATTTTTAAATGGGTAAAAGTTATTGGTATCGATTTTCAGCGCGCGGGGGTGTCCCCCATGTTGGATCAGACCGCGCTACAACGCGTCGCTCGATTTATGTCGGTTCATTTGTTTCCCAGTTTTTGCAGATCTTCATAAATTGAACATCCTCCGTAATTTGCCGGGCGACTCACATCGCATAAGCCACATTTCGCAGGTGTCTCCCTAGTTTTTGCGCAGGACTTGGAATCCTGATTGCCGTCACACTTCTCACTTCAACATCTGGTGCATTTTATATTGCATCGGAATTTTTAAACAATCAATTTAATTTACTTCTTACTACATAACCTACAATCATCCTTGGTGGAATATGATCTGTAAAAGGGTTAACTATGTCCTTTCCAGGATGCTCGTACGCGCGTCGTAAGGCAAAAGTGGCACGACCCCCCCCCCTCGTGTGTACGCGTCACCGACATCGAAGGGGTTAATAACCGAGAAAATTGAGCCGAGAATACTCTTATTATGTTCGGAAATTAAATTTTTTGTTTTCTTTCATTTTTATTTCCAACGGTGCCGTGTGATTTATCGCCCGAGCGCTCGTGTCTTCCCGTCATGCCGCAGAAACGGGCTGACAGACAGCGCCGCGCATGATTAACGCGAGATGAAATCCGATGACATTTCTTCTTCGCTCGATAGCTGGCAGTTCTCATTCACGAGATTGCAAGAATTAATATACGGAGAGGGCGACGAGGAGGGAGGGAGGCAGGGAGGAAGGAGAAAAAGTGCGTAATAAAACGAGAGGGCCCCGTGAGTGTGCGCACTCTGAGGCGCAGGCGCAGGCGCACCAGAGGCCTCCACGGGACGCGATAAAGAAATCTCGCGCGCCCCGAATGGAAGTAGAAAGCGCGCGGACAATGACAGCGGAGACTTGTCCGCGGGTAATAAATGCGAATTCGCTAATTGATTCTAAGTAACCAATAAATTGTGCTGCCCCGCGTTGCAAAAGCGAACAGTATCTTTCCCCATGCTGCATACAGGGTGTCCCCTGCGAAGCGTCGTCCCGTTAATTCTTCTTCAAGCAAGCTCGAAACCAAGATTAACAACATTTTATTCGAGCAACAAACAACGATTAAAATCAAGATATTGCGATTAATTTGCGACGATTATTATTTCGTTCTAATAATTTAAATTTTAATACAAAAATAATTTATTTCTCTATCCACATTAGGAAAGAAATGACATCTATTTATTTTAGAAATATTGCATCGTGTTAACAGATAAAAGAAATTAGAATTTAATGCTTCTCAGAGAGGCCACCCAGTATGCTCTATCGCGAAACACGGATCTACGCGGGTTTCCAGTGCGTTGGGAAACGAGACATTTGATCGATTACCTCTCGTCCACAATAATGAAACGTCGAATGATATCGTGGCAGCATCATCTTGATAGCGGTACAATAAATTAGAATTTGACATTCTCTGGATTTTCCCTATGTGGATGTTCTAACGAAATCAGATACTACTACGTTTTACGCCAATTATTCTCCACGTAGTAGTACGTGACATCCAACTTTGTACATATATTCCGTAAACGACAATACATTATCGATAACAGCGACTTAATTACGCTTGAAATCTTAAAAAATCGTTTATACCTACAAATCGTTCGGCAAAAACTTCCTGAATGGAAACAGGAAAAAGTTTAAACGGTTATCGAGGTCGTTCGAGAATCCCGTCTACTTCGAGACTGAGGTTCTTTTTTTTACGGCGTCTCGTTTTATCACCAAGTCGTCCAAGTGGACAAAGTGTTATGATAATTTCTGCGTCCACTAAAAGAAAAATAGACGATCGACCTAGAAGGAATATCCTGTACGTGCACGTATTCTTTTAATCCGGTCATTAATTGCTGCGCCGTTTCGTCATGCGAGTTTGTAACGTCGCCAGTCCTCGACCGCATTGTAGAAAAACTCATAAAAGGTGGCAGCGGCTCCCTTATTCGTAAATAAAATGTAGGATTCCTGGCGCCTGGCACGTGTTTGTCGGATTAGGTTTTTTCATCGACTTGGATTTCTTTTGCGCGCGCGCGCGCGCGACCGCACTGGTTGCCTCATGCCCAACTAAACGCTATTACACCGACTATTATAGTAATATTCACCTAATCACAGTGCAATTTCACCACGAACAACCTTGCATTTTCTGGTTCGGCTCAGGTTTTTTATAATAATTTTATCGCAACAATGTGTACGCATAAAATCATTATTCGTTAATTACAGTGCTTGATCTCCTTTCGGTATTTTCACATTCTTGGCTGCTATCGAATCTAACAAAAAGGAGGTATTTTTATTAGACAAGATGCCCCCTTCATCAAATTTTTCTTTGCATTTCTCAAGTAACGCAACTACACGAACGTTTTCTTACTTGAAAGATAATATTCAACTAACAAGCTATTTTAATAGTTCTGACTCGAGTCGAAGGATCAGACGTAATACAATAAAGTAGCATAAACGCCAAATAATTTAAATAATTTTCTGCTCCGCGAGGAAATGGAGGGTCCGCGAAAATATTGCATAATCCCGATCGGTGACCCGAGAAATGCGTATTTTATTAAAGCGACCAAACAATTTGGTCCATAGGAAATTTATCGTTGACTGTTAAATGGTCTCGCCGACCATGCCTGGGTTACATGCACAATACCTCGTGTACGCTCCATTGCTCGGCCAGAGCCCCGTTCGCGAGACAGTGCTAAATCCTCGGCCTTCATTTTTCACTTCTCCTTGTATTTCCACTTAAAAGCCCGCAGGAATGGGCGCAACTATTCCGACCATTTCGTTTATTCCATCCGCATTCTATGGCGATTAACGGCGATATAGATATCGGTCGATCGAAAGAGAAGGAACACAGGTTAGGGTGAAAAAGAAACATGTCGAGCGAACGTACGAAGAATTCGGCTCCCGCGCCGTTCCCAGTGAAAGTGGCACATCTGTGAGATAATATTCTTCGGCCGCAGAGATAACACGGACACGGAATCAGTGAATTTCATAGATCGACGTGCACAATACGCTCTCCGCGCGGACCGTAATTCGATCCGACCATATAGGGATTCTCTTATTTCAATTTCGCTATCTACACAGCTGCTATCTACGATGCAAAATACGTATTATAACGAGAAACGAGAACACCGTTTGTGTCCCACCAGCGTTTCACCGAACGACCGTTTCGCGGAACGTTGTAAGTAATTAATACGTGCCCGACGGATTTTTGAGACACGAAACTCGATACGCCATCGGGACTGTCCTTTTCGGTACCACCGGCAGATGAAAGAAGCATTTTAAAACACTCGAACCGTGGCTAATAGCGTTTCTTATATCCCGACCACTTTTACAAGTATTTTCCCGTCACGTTTTACTACGCGGATTCGCTGCACGTACGTACGTACATATTTCAATTAGAAAATTATTCGAATGTGATTCATCTCCGATCCAGCGGACCTAGAAGCAAACCTGGACGCACCGATCCGTTAATCCGTTAATAAGGGCACTCGAGCATCGAGGCGATAATAAAAATAAAGGTACCGACGATAACGCTCGACCATGATTACATGGCATTGCAAATACGATTATCGGGTCGATCAGTCGACGGAGACGATGGAAGAACCATCGAGCGAACGGAGGGAAAGAGAAAGATGGCACCGTGGATGCCGATAAAGAGAAAGATACGGACAAAGAGGCGGTGATCGTTGATAAATGATTTATGCAAGCCACTTGACTCTCATTAATGCCTGCACTCCCGATACGTTGCGTCTATATCCTTTCGCGATGTTTACGAGCCACGGTCGTTCGGTCGTTTTAAGCTACGCCGCCAGTAACTGGATTTCTCGATCTATCGTCGTATTTCGGTACTCGTTCGTTCTAGTCTCTGTCGATCACGACACGCCAGGCGATCCGTTTTATTTGACGTGTTTATGGAAACTCGTAAAACGAGAAAGAATCGGCAGTAAATAATTCGCGGAATTGAATGCTCGCTCGCCAGATGACTTACTCCTGGACCGTTGGCAAATTCCTGTTCTCTAAACCTAACCTCAATACGGTTTAACGACTATAAATTAAAGACGACAAATCGTTCGTCTTTATCGAAACAAGCTGTTTCAATTTACGTGTATGCTTCGAGCTGTCTTTAACGATCGTTTGAAAACTTTAAATCCAAATATTTCGAAAACAACTTGACGAAAATGTTGGATACAAAAGTCTCTTAGTTTCACGGGGCAAACGTATCTGGCTTATTTATTTTATGTTGATTTATCGATTTACGCGATTTACAAAAGACATATGAATGGAAAGGGTATCGACGATTGTCACGTAGCTCGAGATCCTATGACGTCAAGTTGCTTATCTCGGACACATTGTCGTATTTCTACCGACGCGTGTCCTATTTTCTCTACGGCATTATGCGTGTTTCTTACAGGTGTAAGCCGCGTCTAACAATATTTATCGATATATTAGCCGACGCGTGCCGCGTTCTCAAGTTTTTTCTACGACGGGACAACGCAAAGCCAAGTTAACACGCATGGAAACATCACTTGACCGATTTTACACAGACTGCCCGAATTACTTACTAAAATCTCCTGGACAAGACTTGCAACAACGGCCGGAAAGCAGAACCGGCTCGTCGCACGTCAACTTCGGACATTCGTTCTTGATGTTACGACAATGGACCCTCGCCACGATTCGTCGTTTCTTCTGCACCTGAAAAACAAAACGTCGCGAATGAGACAACTGAGAAACGTAATAATTATAAAGAGAAAAGGTTTACAACGTTCGACGCATCGAAAATTCATGTTGAGGAACCCATCGACGATCGATGCGCCACCATATGGCGGGAACGGTTACTCAAGGGTGTAGGAACCCGCGCGAAATTTGAACTTGGTTTGAAGCCGTGCAGTTTTACGAAAGAACTTTTTACTTAAATTGAAATTATAATTTCGCTTAATAATAATTAGAAAACTGCACTTTGGACATTACGCGAATTCCTCTGGCTTTTTCTATCGATTTGTTCGCGGTGGACACGTTTCCCAGTGACGTTTGAAAGTGCGACTGCAATGTTTTCGAGCCTGTAAACGCGCTCACATGTTTATTACTCCTTTACGCATCGCTGACGATAGTTGTAACGTTTACATACGCGGCACGCGATAAATCTATCGGCAAGTAATTGGTAGGTGTTATTGATCACAAAGGACTCGTTTATCACGGTCAATGGTGCCATTATCCGCGGCACGATTTACAATACTCTTCGTAATATAAATTATTATTTAACGTCTTTGTCGCTCGCCAACTTTCTAACAGTCTGTCGTGGAAAAGAATCGCCCCGACCTACCGTATAACTATTCTAAACCACGGTCAATGGTGGCGTTACTAATGTCTGCTACAATACACGTACGCCATTATAAATTCATATTCCGTGACTATGCCGATCGCCACTTTCCACTATAGATCTGTCGTTGTTTCTGGTTCGTGGTATTTCGCTTTCAGAACGTCTTACTTACGGTCTCCCGTTTCGTTCTTTACGACACATTCACGCTCGATGGTACCATTCAACACGGGGACCGTAAATATTGCTCTACGAGACTTTCTTTCCTCTGCACTTTTATAACAACAACGAAGCACTTGGGCACCTAGAAAATTTCTTCACGATTCCGAAGATTTCTCAGAATATTATTTTCATAACAAACAAAGTTTTAAAATATTTTTGTTGAAATCGATTTCCGTGAGTTGACCTTTAAAACACATTCCAAGGTCGTCCAGTTTATAAATAAATACCAGATACGTCAATTAAGCCGGAATTGCTATTAACTCTGAGAAACGAACGAGACAAAAAAAAGATATAGAAAACCGATACAAGAAGGGAACAGGGGACCAAGGATCGTTCAATGTAGGAGCTTTAAACTGAATGTGGCGTAGGATTTTCTGCTGTCCCGACGGACACGCGTCGACCGGTCGATAAATATGCAACTTTACAGCACATTTGCTGCGCCTAGGCTATCTCTTGGTGTGAAAAGCCAATCTCGCGAGGAGTTCTTTCACGACTGTTCGCCGACTGAAGGACGGGGTAAGGGATCGTAGACGCCGATCAGAAGGGTTCCAGTTACAACGGCCGCGGAGCAGAAATTAAGTTCAGGGTTTTATAGACGGTGCACGGCATTCCTGAAACCGTGAAACGATATACGCTCGATGTTGATTCGAGTGCCGAACAGTAGAGGAGAAAAAAGAAAAAAAAAGAAGAAAAGAAAGGAAACGAAAAACAAACCGACGACTGCCGGCCAGTCGGGGACGTTAAACCTCGAATTACACGAGAACCGGGGCGCCAGAAGTAAATTTCGTGTTTCAAGAGGCACCGACTGACGGTTAAACTGGACCGCGTTGCGCGATTAGATGCAATTTTTATCGCTCGCGGATAGATTTAGGTGTCGGACGACGCACGGCCTCGACCGTTTCCGATAACGATAACGCGGATCGTAAAGAACGAGACGAGAACGTTTCTTTATTTTTCTTTCGTCAGACTTCGTTCCGGGGGACCAACAAATTTTGACCCTATTTTTTCTTACCTTGCTTTTTTATCAAAACACGAAGGTCACATTCTATTTTTTTCCAACGTAACACTCGATATTTCACATCAGATTTCGATAAAGCATCGTAAAATCTTTTCGTTCGAATTCGATTATAGGTTAGGATCGAGCCACGTCGGATTCGAAAGATTCTCGTTCGGTGAACGCGTTCGGTGGATTTCTTTTATGCAGATTTTGCTGTTTTGTTTTCATACGGCGAACGGAGTCGTTAAACGAGACGAGAAATAAAAAATTCCTTTCGCTTCTCGAGCGCGCGACGAGATGGGAGGATTTTCGCGAGGCGAACCGTCGGAGCCGTACGATCGCCTCGATTAAGAAGCGTCCCGCTATTCACGAACCGAGGCTGGCATGATTCATCCACCCACGATTTTCTGCCCGGGGTAGCCATTCATTATTTTGACACTATTGTAGAAGTAATGATAGAAGCGGAGAACGTTCGCCTGGCCGGGCCGGAAGTCAGCGTCGATTCGTGCGTGGGGTCTCGCGTGTGGGCCGCCTTACAGGCATTCCCAATAAAAAAAAAAAGAGAAAAGAAACCGACTTTTGATCCGTGCCGCTGCACGAGAATATATTATGCCAACGAAGAGCCGTTCGATTTATTCGCTGCTCCGCTCGTGTTTACGACAAAATTACATCTGAAACTACAAACTGTACCTAGATTAGGTTAGGTTAGGTTAAAATATAATTCGAATACGTTTGAATGTTGGAAAACTTCCATTAAAATGTAATTAGGAGACTTTTAAAACATATTGGAGAAAAATAACCTCTTAAAGTTTCATATGTAACAACCTGATATAATAAAAAGAAATACAGCGTCAGAGTATAAGTAGAAACCGAAATGTAAAAAATGCTTCGGATTAAATATAAATGGAACCTTCGCGTGTCCGTGGAAAGTCGACGTTAATTTCCAAAGAAGCATAAATCGTTTAAATTGATCGTTCCGTGTTTTTGCTCGGTGGCGACACCAGCGCGCGGCGCGCGTCACAGTATTTCTTTGAGGTTAAATTTCGCGAATGGAATGCGAAATCGTTCTAGAACGTAACTGTACAGGAGCAAAGCGCGTAACGGTAGACATCAGCCCGGTATGACTTTAGGTAAAGAAAACGACGTCTCGTGTGATTCACGCGACGTGTCTGCCCGCTTCTCACAACGCAAGCCCCGCGACCTATCAATAGCCCCTCGTATACACTGAAGAGGGACTGTCATTCCTCCGAAGACTAAAAATAGAATTCGCGCGTCCGTCCATAAGCCGCTAGTCCAAGCTGTCCCGTGCCAGAGTTTCTCGCTCTGACATTATGGACCCCTTATTTTCGAACGCAGTGGAAATCGATTTTTCTTCATCTCGAGACGACGAAGCGTCCAAGGCGTTTGCATCGATCGAAAACTCCCGTTAAGGTTTAGGTTAGGTTAGATTTTTATTCGAAACCTGTAATTCGGTACGGATAACCTATAAACGTTACAATTACGGGCGAGATTAGAATGTTATTTATACGAAAGGAATCGAACGCACGTTCGTCCATAAGCCGCTAGCTCTGACATTATGGACCCCTTATTTTCGAACGCAATGGAAATCGATTTTTCTTCATCCCGAGACGACGAAGCGTCCAAGGCGTTTGCATCGATCGAAAACTCCCGTTAAGGTTTAGGTTAGGTTAGATTTTTATTCGAAACCTGTAATTCGGTACGGATAACCTATAAACGTTACAATTACGGGCGAGATTAGAATGTTATTTATACGAATGGAATCGAACGGGAGCCCGACGGGATATTATAGGCAAACACGTAAGAACGGTAGCCACTCAAGGACGGAGTTTATGAAGATTGGCTAAATTAAACTCCATTAGGGCAAGTCCAGACCGTTCTGCCCGGACGATAAATGCACGCGCGGACACGGACCGTTACTACGATAGAGAATATATCAATTGAGCCGCAAAACAGCGAGGGCTTCGAATCGTTTTATGATTGACCTCGAATTTATTTCCACATTCTTCATCCGCAATTAAACGTTCCCCGGGGTCGTGTTATTAACCCGATGTTACCAACCCCGCTGTGGCTCGGCCAGACTTAACTTCTGCTTCCCATAAACCACTTTTTATCGTCCTCGCTGTTAACACCCCATCGTCGAATGATACAACGCCACATTCCAGTTCGGTAACACGGCTCGGAGATGCGGCCGCGTAAAACGTACAATTCTCATCCGCTATTAATAGCAACTGTTTATTATTATTTATTGCGTCGAATCGAATATTTTTGCGAGATCTAGCACCCTGTACGTGCCAGCTTCTTATTTAGGAGTGTAAATGGACGTTGCGTGAAATACTTTGCACGAAAAAAAAATGAAAGAGAGGGGAACGGTGGGAGGAAAGGAACGAACGCGTCTGTCGTGGGCATCGGCGTCCCTTTTGAACGTCGCGAGTGGGTGCGGACGAAATCTCGACAGGATCTTCGTTTAACGGCGCTTTTGTTCCCCGCGTCGGACAAAAGGCGTTTCGCGCGATAAAAATCTAGATTCGTCGCCGCGTTAATTAAACATTTTGCTTGGAACGTTTCCAGGGGAACGAACGGTGTTTCGCGATTAACTCTTTGCATCACGGCGGCTGGCTTGGGTTACCACCTAGGAAACGTCCATTCGAGCACAACGATTAGCATCGCTGACAACTTGTTTAACCAATTTACCTCGTACGTTTAAACGTTTCTTTATTGGCCACACGTGTTTTGTTGGAAACCTAGAATCTAGGAAACGTCTTCGAATCTGGACAATGTCCATTCGAACGTGATCGTTGGGTTAGGTGATTGTTTATTAACAATTATACTGCTACGATTATAAGAACCATTTAATGCAAATACTAACCATTGTGCTCGAAAATTTCAAATGTTAAGAAATACTAGAATGCAATTAGATCGTATCGCAGTAATATGTGCCACGAGTCTGACTCATTATTATGTATAAGGAAAGGGATTAATATTATACTTTATTGGCTAACCCAACCATAATACGACATTAGACCAACGCCTTTCGTCGAGAAAGTCCGGAAGAGAGCCGCTGAACGAACCTAATCGGCTCCAGCCGTACGTTTATCTGCTCAAAATCAAGCTCATTAATACAGAACCTATTATTACGAGCATGCGAGAAAAACTTATAAGAAAAACATTCGATTTAGCAACTGTTTCGTACATCGAGCGCTAATCGACCAGACAAGTATTAATAATAATTGTCTTACGCAACAATGCAAACAAAAAAAAAATACACAGACTACAATCGAAACGCTGTTTGATCTAGTAATCGTTGTATAATCGAAAGAGGGTTGATTCTTCGTGCAAAATTTTTTTTTTTTTTGGACGATTTTTCCGATGCCCAGGGATACGATTTAAAAAAGTTTGTGGAAATCGAGTTTCGATCGTGGTCCGGTCACTCTGTCCCACTGTGCACAGTAGAATCGACGTAATACGCGAAGCACGGACTAAATCTCGATCTGGGTGACGTGACCCACGGAGGCTTGACGTGCTTTCTAATCCCATTCCTGGTCCGAGACAGACTGGCGTCCGCTTCTGAGCTTGCCTCTACCGCCACTGGTATCCAAACGCGCGCGAGTATCGTTTTACGGGTGAATCGCGACGCGTCCTTTCAAGTTCAGAGTTTGCGCACGGCCCTCCTCGCCGCCGAGACAACGCAGCTGTCCTCGAGAAAACAATCCGAATATCCCCTTTCAAGGAACGCAAGAAGATCGTTGTAACTTTATACAAAAGGATCGTTTCTCAAATGTTATTCGACAGTCGTAAAATAATTGGAGAAAATCGGCCGGGTAAAAAATCAGTCTCGCGTGGTCGGTCTACGCGAATAGTCGGGTCTCGAATTCCGTGAAAGTCGCGTCAGGTTAGGTCGGCTACATAGAAACGCGGCGGCGGTCCGTGGCGAGCCGTGCCACAAGCCGGGGTTAAAAGGTCGGAACACACGCACACGAGCGCTCTCGGTCCTCTGGCGACACACGTAGGCGCTAACGCGTGCGCACACCAACACGCGCGTATGTGCGAGGGCACACCCACTTTAATACGTACCGGAATGCATTCGCATTTGATGCAGTACATGACTCCGAAGGGCGGGCCCAAATCCGCGAACCAGGTGGAGCCCAGTTCCCGTATCTGCTTGCCGAACGTGCATTCTGCAACAAACAGGCGTACCAATTGATACATGAACACTACAAATTCGGCCGTTCTTTGCTATCCCGGTCGCTATCACGCTGGTGGACAAAATTATAAAAAATAAATACACATGTAAATGTTGAACTTTTGTATTAGGTTTTTATTATTTTAGACGACAAGCAAATTACATACATGGTAGATATATTTGGACAATAGATGTCACGCGTCTGTTTATCGATTTCAGTTATTCTTAACAATAAAAAATAGCGTGTTATAATTCTGTCCACCGGTGTAAATACAATATGAGAGAAGATGTAACGGAAATAAATGTAGATGGGACTGGAGGTAGCAAAAATAACGCGTCGAAACTCGCTCGTACGAACCAGAACCACTAATAAGCGACAGCTTTCGTTCTCGTTCGTTCTCAAAACACCTGTGCGTGTATTCGCGCGGCGGTAATCCCTCGGCCATCCACGAATGGGATAAAAGTGAAACCGCGGAATGAATGGAAAGACTCTCTCCCGGCGGCGAGCGTTTAATCGCTGGGTTCTGAATCACCCGGCGCGAAGAAGCGAACCATCGCCGCTTAAAAATCGCCGAGACGACGATGAGACGAGGCAAAAGAAGAAGAAAGTGACCGCGGTCTTGAAAGGGAGGGGGAAAAAAGAGGGGGAGGAGCCGCGAACCGGGTAAGAAGGGAAAAAAGAGCGTGCTCTCCGTTCTCGCAAGGCCGTTGCCTCGTTTTAAAAGTGACGTCGTCTCACCTTCTTCCGCTAAGAAGGGAAAAACGACGAGAAGCAAACAAACAAACAACGTAGAAGAAGAAAAGAGGAAACGGGCGACTAGGCCGTGTATGATTGCGTCACGCGACGTCCTTTCCTTTTCCGCGTAAAAATAAAGCGTCGTGCCGCCGCGCCGAAAATAACGCGGCCGAGAGACACGCAGTTTTTTTATTCCTTTTCCCCGCGTATTTTGTATTTTATCTTCGGTTCGAAGAAACGACTTTCGTTCTTTCCTCGCCGTCGAAATACCGGTTGCGTTACCGTTTCCTTGTTAAAATGTTACAAGCGTTCGAAATATTGTGACAGTTATTGCACACGATACACATTCCCTTTACGATTTCACGAATCTGAAGGAGCCACACGTACGAGAAACCTAGAAATTTTAGAAATTCCGTTCGAATCCCGAACAATTACTTTTTTGTACACGTAATGAGGCTCGTGTGTCGCCTCGTAGTCGGGAATTTCTCCAGAAACGAAACTACGGAATTAAAATCATCGTCCCACGTACACACTGGCGCGTGAGAAAATTCGTTTTCACTAATTTTATATGCAATTTACGCGCTCTGTGTCCGTGGCCATTTTCCGGTGAAAAGATGCATAGTTTAACGCGATGATTGTTAATACAGTGCGTGAACGATACAGGACAAAGCGTGGGTATCCATAATAAATTTAACTCTTTGAAACTTTGATCCAAAAGTAAACTAATAATTTAAACTTTTATCAGAATCAATTCCTCGATCTAAAATAAATCGAAACGGTCCTCTACCATTTTGCAATCCGAGGTTTCGTTGTCGAGATACAGGCAGTCAAAGTTTTTAAGCGCGCGATCAGCTGACTGGAGTATAGATGGCGCGAGTCGCGAGCGACACCGAACTTCAACTGTCTGTATCTCGGTAACGAAGCCTCGGTTTGCAAAGTGGTAAAGAACTTTTCGATCCCTTTTTACGCGTACGTTTTGAAAAAGGCCTCACATTACTGTAAAAACTTTCTTCGTAACTTTATATTTATCCGTGAATACATACACATAAGAGAACATAAGCGGCGATACAATACCGCGTATTTACGAACGCGGGTAACTCGATGACTCACCGTGTATCATTGGCTTCCGTATTTCGAGCAGTACACTGTCCAAGTTCGTTAAAGACTCAAGAGTTATACATGGGGAGGTCTCTTTGAGAGGGACAAACTTTGTAACAATCCGAGGGGCATTACGGCTATATTTCTAGCCGCTTTCATGAATTGCTTTCGAACAGAGGCAGAAGTTGCGACACGCGGACGGTGTAACGAGGAGCACAAAGAACGAAAGATCGGTGTTCCATGGGTCCCTTTAGGTTCGCACGCGTCCACTCGTCCGTTTGCTTTGGCTATGCATTCGAAAGAAAGAGAGAGAGAGAAAGAGAGACAGAAAGGGAGAGAAAAAGAGAAAGAGATAAATAGAAGAGGAAAACACACACACACACACGGCAAGGCTCATTGCGCGAGGTCGTTGCACCGCGTGTGCTAAGTCGTTCTAAGCGCGGAGTCGGTCCTAAGCAACCAGGAGCACGAGAGAGGAGGGCCTCGACACGCCATCGCATCGCAAATATGCGAGTCGAATGGTACGGCACGTTGTCGTATCGGCCCCCCTTAATCATTTTTTTCCCTCGTTTCGCGTTATTGACGGTATCGACTCTTTTCCAATCGTTCGTTTTTCTCTGGCCGCTGAGTCAGACACGCATACACACGCGCGATCGGTGTGAAATTTGATGGATCGCGCGGTAAAAGAAAGATCGATCCTGGATTAAGGAGAACGTCGCCACCGCGAATAGAACACAGTGGCGCGCAACCTTTCTTTCTTTCTTCAGTGGGCCAAATAAAATTAATATTCTCTGAGGAAAATAAAACATCTACGCATACACAGGGTGGGTCATTTTTTAGGAGCTAAAATAAAACGAAAAAAAATGTGTCTTTGTCTTATCGTGTAATCCTAATATCTAGACTGCGGATCTTCATGCAAATTCATATTTTTATTAATAAAATTAATGAAATTGGAGCTTTGTAGTCTCAACCCCTAGATATAATAATTCGTACCTTATTTTAAGTATTTCTTATATTCTTGCATATTAACTAAATTCTGTAGCTTTTTGAAAATTAAAATTTCCCATAAATGCATAAACATCCGCAGTCTACTAATATCAGTTCAGCGCGTGAAAGTTAATAGGGCTTAATAAAGTTGAATATTCGGTCTAGCCATTAATAATATTAATAAAAAAAATTCATATATACAGATGTTGCGAATAAATCATTAAACTTTGATTCTATTTGTTGTGTACGATTCGACAATAATTTTTCCGTCCACGATCGTTATTACTAATGACTTTCGTACAGATTTCGATCAGTTATATGGCATCGACAGTTATTAACATTTAACCAACCAAGAAATCGATTTCACTGGGTGGTGATCGTGTTTGCCGAGAAACCCGACAAATTTCATCGACTTCTTACTCGATTTCCTTCCCCCGTTTAACAGACGATCCGCCGACGAGCTTATAAATTACCCGCGTATCACGGAGAAAGCCACCGACTGAATTAGTTCCGACAGTGAGGAATCGAAATCGGAGGAAAGCTCAAGGGATTCCGTTGACGCGCAGACACGCACGCGCGATGCGCACTTTGTCGGGCCGAACTGACGTTCTCCTAATGCAGGGGTTCTCAACGTGGGCCATACGGGGCCCCCCGAGCGGGGCCGTGTATCTTCGAGATCTAAATGAAAAATAAAAAAAAAAATTTTTTAATTTTCAACTTTTTAACGGACTACAAATAATATTGTAATAATAAATCTTTCGTTGGAAAGTTGGCAATAGATTTCAGCCATGTTGGTAAATATTGGGTTGGGAAGGAAGTGCGTAGCCTTTTTATTATTTCTCGAGTTCGCGAAGCTGTCGAAAACGTCGAAGAAAACATTTCTCTCCAGAGTGTTGCTTCCAACAAAAACAGAGATAACGTTCTTTTTGTTGTAGTAGAGCAGAAGTGCCGCCTTTAAAAAGATGCCGCCCGGGACGGAACGCCCCCTCCGACCCCCTTTCGCTACGCTTCCACGACAAGCATATAAATAGGAACATTAGTTCCTGATTGAAATGATCCTGTATTGTTCAAAAGAAAAGAAGGTCGAATCCTACGATGCAATTTATATTAAATTTCATCGATGTTGCGACACGAATAGTTTAATTTTCAATATATTTATAATATGTCAACATTCTATAATTCCTATCCACTCCTGTCTATGATAAAAGTTCGTAAAGAGTAGGAAATAATTTCTAGATGTCAAAACCTCTCTAAATTTCTGGTTGCGAACATATGCTTCGTTTCACGTATGAGAACAAGTAAATAAATAAGTTTAGTATTTATCGTTATTTGCTATCTGTTAATTCGCTAAATAATAATATAACCGGTCAAAACACGACGAACGGTATGTAACAGCAATACAGCATAGGCGTCGAATCCCGCTAAACGTTTAATCTATTATTGGAAGGATGAGAATAGGACGCCGTAGTCGACTCGGCGTGGTGTACAGAGTGGCCGGTGCTAATTTGGCCCATATACCAACGTTTCATAGACCGTTGACTCCGGGTGGTGTAACTTATGAACTGTGAAATGTTGTGCGCTTTATCTCGAACCGTGGTCTTTCGTGTCTGGGCGGGTTCGTAATAGAATTGGTCGAACGGGACACGCGAGATACAGATTAAATAGCGCTCGATATCCGTGGTTTTTAGCCACGTAGCCAAAATCGATCGTACGCTGATTTTGCAATTTTTAAAAATTGTACGATTCAACGGAAAAATAAATGTTCCGCGTGGGTGTGAAACAGGGACGAGCATAATTTTGTTTAACGCGTTAAACGCTATGTCGGTCACTAGGGACGATATACGTACGGTCGCCTTAACCTCGATCGAAAAGTAGTTTATCCGTAGTCTTAATAAAAATTGAAGCGTCGAGATAAATTCATTTTCATAAATTAGCCGTATCCATATTTATAATCGATTTGTTTCCTCGAACAAGGGTCGTGCAATTGTTTTTCCCGTTAACGGTTTTGTACCGTTCGTCGCTTATTACACGTAACGCGATTAAGGATACCGGTAAAGCGACGTCGAGAGCGTTCACGCAGATTACCAGACGTTTGCATAAATGGATTAGCATAAATTAAACACAATGGAAGAGCATCGGGGACAAGGTGGGCTCGTGAATTGACCGCGATTTGC